TATAGAGGAGGAGGGAGGGCTTCGCTGTCGGAGTGCGTGGTATGAGTTGGTGAGATGGACGGTGGGGAAGGCGGGGAGGGCTAGAGGCTCGTGATTTGGAAGTGGCCCAAATTGAGCCGTGGCCCAAATTAAGCCGGTGAGAAGGGTACTGGCATGGCTTTACAAGCTCTTTTGAGGCATCAGTGTCATGTGCATATTTGACGGTCGCTTTTTCTACCTCACGTGTCTGTGATGTGAGTGGCATTGATGCGCCTCTCGTAGGAAAACCTTTTTACCTTCACGGGCCTGAGAGCTCCCTTGTTGAGACTATACACATTATGAACATAAATGCCCATGGATCAAGCCTATGTTGTAGCACAGTGGGGGAAGGAGGCGTCCTTTCAAGGTGTGAGTGACACGTGATTCATGAAGGAAGGCCTCATTGCTTTACTAACTTTTTGCGATCTGATTTCGGATTGCCAAAAAAGGCCTGCTGTAAATCACGGGAAGAATCCAGAACGTGGCTGGATTTCAGGGGTTCGGAAACTTTGCTGCCGCCCACGGAGGCGCGTTAGTCATCCTGTACAGTGATTCTCAAGACTTGATGTGCTTGTCAACAACAAGCAAGGATTCCTTTTATCTTTAGCTAAATGTTGCCAGTACGGGGGCGACAAGGTGCTCTTTTCATAGGGAGGCGAATTCACGATTTCTTCAGTATTGGGAGGCCGGCTGCCGAAAATATGATCAAACAGTAGGGCAAAATGACGCTTTATCTCTTTTTGTGGCTGTCCTCCACCCCGCCCGCCGTCACCCGCCCGCCGTCACCCTCCCGGACGCCCATTTCGCCACCGCACGCCCCCTACTTGGAGGAGGAGGGAGGGCTTCGCTGTCGGAGTGCGCGGTATGAGTTGGTGAGATGGACGGTGGGGAAGGCGGGGAGGGCTAGAGGCTCGTGATTTGGAAGTGGCCCAAATTGAGCCGTGGCCCAAATTAAGCCGGTGAGAAGGGTACTGTACCGTACAAATGTCTTGCAAGTGCAAATTGTTTCCTGGTACAGTACCTTCAACACTACCGTGTACAGTATTGCACATCAACACAACTGGGTCTCCGTTGCCGTACGGTACAATTTACTCATGCATTTTTCGACAACTGGATCTATGTGTACTTTTATGCGTACTGATCCAACGCAGGAAACTGACCCCATTCAAAAGTGCTAGCCTAGCCAAGCAATATCGAGCGCTGTCGAGGAATACCGGAAAAGAGGACTTCTTTCACAACTCCACTTCTCCAAGGGTCTTGGACACGGCGCCTACATTGCATAACCAGAAACAGGGACGCGTTTATCGTGTATCGTTCTTCTTATTCAAAAAACAAACTTCGTTGACAAGCCTTCCTCCTTCCCTCCACATCATGTCCCTGGAATTCATACTGCCCTTTAGCACGCCAATTTGGAATGTGACCCGACTCATTGGTTTGGCTATTCTTGTCGATATGCTCCTTGCTGTGGCGCTACAAAAAGCTTCATCAAGGATTAATGGTTTCATGGCACGAAAAGGAAGACGAGTGGCATTGGGTACGACGCGAGCTGGTAGGCTGACTCAACTACCCGGAATAGACCAAAACGGGACATGGATACGTCTATGCTTCTGGGGGGCAGCAGTGACCCTGTTTGGCCTAGCCATTATGGCAGAATTCGGGAGCGTCGAAAGGGATGTAGAACTGGACACTGAAGTAGAGCTGGGAAGCATATTCGAGGCTGCAAAGGGGAAACTTCTATCTGTGAATTTACATGCCGAAGACGAAGATCCGAATAAAGGTGGTGGTATTAGGCTGTTTGGTCAAGTGTTTGAGGTGACGGGCTCGTCACTGAGAAATCCGTCTATAGATCACGAAGCGCCACTCATCGAATCGGGACACAAAAGTTGTCCACCAGGTGAAAGACGTCTCCTTGGCGGTTTCTCGACAATGAGCTTGATAGACCGCGTGCTTGTCATGGCCACGGAAACAGGAATAGAATTCGAGAGGAGAACGCCATCATCAAATTCTACGATTGAAAAAGTAGTCGCCGCAGTACCCTTTAACTGGTCTCTCTGTGACAATGAAGAAATCAAACGACAATTAGGGCAATTGGAAAACCATACCGAGGTCCACAAATTCCTTTCTGTCCTTTCTGATATGGCACTTGGAGCAGGATGGAACTCTGTGGTAGGACTAAACAAGACGGGAAGAAAAGTAATAGGGGAAATTCCCGTACGGGTTGGGAGCGGCTATAATGGTGGCTTGCGCCCAGGTAGATTCGTTCTTCGGGGCTGGGCAGATATTCAAGATTTGATCTTTCGTTCGCTGGCCGGTTCCGAAACGGTTTGGGTGGACTTTGAACCGGACCTCCTACGCCTAGCTCCTCAGGGAGCTGGACTGCAGATGGAGCGGTTGCCGGTTCGGCAGAGCAGAGTAGAAAACACGGAGATCGAATTTGGTTTGCCTGATGAAGAATTACAGTTCAAGAGCGTGGAATGGCATGGTAGCGTATCAGTCAGTGCCGGATCCATTTCTGAACTCGTGCATGTGTACACCACTGATCGGGGAGAATGCGCCATGGGTCACGTCGTGTGTTCGTGTCGACTGACTTATGAGAACGAAACATATCAAATCATCCAAGGATGGGCATTCGGAGTTCAAGAAACTGAATTTCGTATGATTCAGAGGGTAAACTTGACACGATTTGCTCGCGAATTTTTGGAAGAAGCAAAAGACACGATGGTCTACATGTCTCTCTACAGGACTTTACCGGTTAGGAGCCTACGAGTCAGTGGATCGCGGCCTCAAATTTTCTCAATGGATGCTGCTGACGAAGCATCAAGTGTCAAGAGTTTCCCAGTGCTCCCCCTAGACAAAAGCTTGTCTCCGAAGATCGGGATGGGATACGGGGTGCGGAAGACAGCACGAGCGGCGATAAATGTGTGGTTCATTGCCTCTGCCGCCGGCTACGCCATGCTTTTGATGTTTTTCCTTTTAGTTTGCCTCTTTCTTAGAAACGAACTAGACATCGACGTCGTCACTTCGTTGGTGCGCACACAGAACGAGCTCCTCCAAGCGCCCATAGATTGCAAGGTGGCAAGCCGACGCCCTCTGGATATCGGAATATTTCAGCCAGAATGGTCGAACGGGGAACTCCACCTAGGAACACTTGGAGAAAATGACAAGCCTGTCCAAGCACCTGACTTAAGCTTGGTTCACTCGATGCCACGCTTAAGGAGGGGGCAATCTAAGTCTGTTTATACCGTGTAGTTCCGCCATCTTCATCTCAATGCGTCTTGTAAATGTATGTGATTGCTGCACATGGTGTGGTAAGTATGGCGGTTCCCCTTGCATCGAAGACACGAAAACGTGCCCCGTGGCAGCACAAGCGCAACAACGGCTGGCCATTCAGCACCGCATTAGATCACTGTTCAACTTTCGTGTTTTGGACAACACCGGACTTGAACAACTGACCACTTCTTATTTCATGAGAGCGGGGAAGGCGCTACTGCAGCAAACAGTATTATGGTGAGACCATAACTGAACAAACCTGTTGGAAAATTGAACTTGGGGCTTTTTGTATCGCCCAAAGGTGCTGATGGGAGTGCCAAATAATTTACCAGGTGGGTCAGACGTCAAGAAATAATTATTACTGTCCTGAACGCTTACGAAATAATTACGCAACGCTTCCCCATCTGCTTCACAAGTTCGTCTACAAAACATGGAAGTGGTAGTAGTATAAATGCGCGAGTAGCCACGATAAATAAAAGGGCAAGGAAGGATAGCCCCACTTTCTTCAACAGGTGCTACGTGAATTGGCCCGTGGCACAAAAACCGTGCTAGCAATTCGAAAGCATTGCCGAACCATGTGAAGGCATGGTTGTTTCATGGATCATCGGCGCTCCAAACCCGCTCCCTTCCTCGGCACGTTTCGCCGCGCACCACAAGTGTCGCGACGCGCCCCTCGCCGTCTGCAGCGCTTCTCCCTCAATCCAGTACGCTGGTACAACTGCGCGTCTCACGCGGCCTCGCGCGGGCCGTGGGCCACTCGCGCACGGGCAAGAAGGTGGCCGCCGTGAAGGGGGCTGCGGCGCGCGGGGCCCTCACTGAAGGCCACTCTACCGACGAGGTGGGCATTGGGCACAGAGCTGGACGAGCCCAGGAGCATGACCGGCGCAGCACGGTGCGGCGGAGGGTGAGTACACCTCGTCCGTGGCGCCGGCGAGCGGGCCGGTGGAAATTGTGAAACATTTCCAAGTCGGCGCGCGAGGGAGACTGCGACATCGACTCGAGACAAAGTCAGTGGCAGGATGTCGTGGGGGCGCGGCTACGCGACGCGGGGAGCTGCTAACGCCGCAGCACCAGGAGTTTTTGGGGACGGAGGGGCTGTGGTTGGGGCTGGACTTTGCTTGCTTTGGCATGCTCAAACTCAGGGCAAAGGCGGGGCGCACGAACGCGCTCGACCGGGTGTACCTGTTCGGAGCGGAGGGCGAGCTGGTGATAGAGTGGGTGGCGACCTAGCGTTTGCCAACATGGACGTTGTCGTGGGAAGTGACGGTGGCGCAGATACCGCGCGGGGGTCCGGCTGGCGATGGATGCAATCCAGGTGCTCGACGGAAATGAGGTACGCCCGGTGAAGGACGTCCCTAGCAACCCTACTGTAGGCGTTCGTAGGGCACCCGCAGTGTGATCGGGGGACTAGGGGTGCAATCGTAGTACAGTATTTACCTAGTATTTACGTAGTGTGTATGTAACAGTAGGTACAGCAGGCCGGAAATCTGGGTCAACCGTGCAGTGCTGTCGTATCACATGCGGAGTGCCACCGCAGTAGCATCCCCCCGCCGTTTCTTGTGCGGAGTGCCACCGGGGTGGCCTTCCCTCATCTCGTCATAGCTCGTCGAATTTCGCAAGTCGGGTGCCGTTATTCTTCGTCTGCAAGAAGCCCACTGGCTGGTGGACCGTGATCCGAAGAGCGCCGTCAGCTGGATGGCCGTCAGCTAATACTACTTCGCGTGCGGCAAGACCGAGGTCGCGCGCCGGTTTCTGCACGAGGCTACTACGCTGGACGCAGGCTTGGCACCAGCGTGCGTCGCCGTGGGACATGCGTGCGGCCTCGACCTCGATGTTTCACTAAGCTGCGACGCGCCATCGTGCGCCGCACGCTCTCCATCCTCGTCGTCTGCTGCCTGCTCTACTCTAGCGTCCTTTCCTTTGATGAGCACAATGGCATCCCAGTACAAATACTCTTCCCTGTGCTCGGCCAACATCGCGTCATCTGAGATCACGGATGGTGGGATTCTCTTGGAGTCTTCCAGCTGCGAGCTACCCCATAGAAACGGAAGGAACGAATAGTCGTCCAACCCCCACACTCCATGGCTTCCCGCCGGTTCTAGCATGTACTCCCTCTGAAGCAACCGTGTCACGTTGAGATATGCCTGGAATACCAACAAAACCAGGTCCTCGTCGTCTTCTTCTCCGTAAAACCCAATCTTCCAGAGACAGTATAACATCACTAAAAAAATGCGCCTCGTG